AGAAGTCCCAAAACTCTACATTCAGAAAACCTCCATCAGAATGCTGGCAGTGCGGTGATTGGCATTTTGTTTGCTTCTGTCCATTCACGAAGCACGTATGTCAGAAATACCACAAACAAGGGCATAATGAAGACCACAGTCCAGCAGGCCAGCCACCCAATTCAAGGGCGGGCGACAGGAAGGCGAGAAGTTCTAATCGCTCTTCATCTTACTCTGGCCTAAAGTCCCACTCAATCCTAGCCACACTCCAGAAAGAATTTGAGGCAAGGAGGAAGTATCTTACGGTTAATATCAATGGCAAACCTGCACGCCTTCAGCTTGACACAGCCTCAGACCTCAACCTCATCTTCAAACACACTTGGCAGATGATTGGACGACCTCCGATGATCACATCGGACAAAAAGGCTATGAATGTTTCTGGCGGATTTTTCCGGCTCACGGGTGAGCTTGAATGTGACCTTTCTTTTGAGGGCACTCATTTCAAGCGACCATGCTACTATAGCAACCGCCCGAAGCTTGACTTAATTGGCCTTGACTGGGTCGAGAAACTCGGTCTCCTGGATTTGCCACGTAACGGCATTTTCAATGTTGTGCAGTAAACTTGGCCGATTCTTGACAAAGCGAATTAGATCGTGACAAATCTGGTGTCGACGACCACCTCCTGCCGAGGTGCACAAGGAGAAGATGGAGGAGGAACCAGGAAAAAAACGCCAGCAACTTCTGATCCCCGTCAGATACCTGGTCGGTCAACTCGCAGCGGCGCACGCAAAAGGAGTGGTGCCCTAACAAATCCCCATTGCCAATACAAGCGAACATGCGTGTTCCAGGAAGCAATTGCTACTTTCTCCTGCTCATGTCTCTGATGATGATTTCGCGACGGATGTCGAAACGTCAGGCAAATAAACGTATTGTCCCAGCGATCGAATCTTCTTCTTCTTCTTCTCAAAGTCCCCATCCTCTTCTCCCACGACCGCCGTTAACTCCCCAGATCCCTCCACAATGGGACCGCAGTGCTCAAAGGGCACGAACTTCAGCCTCTAGACGACCAGGCCGGAAAATTTTGCAAACAGTTCCGTTACAAGTGAACCCGCGGCTCAAATCTTACGATTCGTCTTAAAAGGGGGGATGCTAGGAGGCGCCTAACAGGCAGAGAGCATGCATCAAGAAGCCGCACTCACAGCAGGCTATCGATTGGCCTACACGAGGCGAACGCATACTGGTTGTCAATCAATCAATAATTTAAAATTCAAGCAACAGTCAGCCATCAAGTCACCAGCCAATCGTGCCACTAGCCAAGCCAGGACAGAAGCTGATTGGCTCGATGGACCTAGCTAACACTTGTTTATTGCCCTCAATATTTTGTACCTTTTACACTCAAGGACTTCAGCTTTTGCCCACTTCTTGTCGTGTTCTTCCTTGGGGTACTCAAACGAGGCGTAATTAGGCGGTGACATCTCGGCTTTGGCTACCGGTACAACACACACGATGTCCGGAATCAACAATATGCTTTTTATGCCCCTCACTTCACCATTTCTCAGCTATGCCGGGAGGTGTTCCCATATTCTTTTGGATAAGCGCTGACTCGGGTGGCCACCATAGTCTGTTCCACAAGAGCAAGCAAATGAGTAGGTGCACATGGAGGGGATCTGAACTGCAAAACTGGCTTTTCCATGCCTGTGCAATAGAGGATTAGTACAGAATACTACCCGAACTCTCACTACTGGGAATGTTTGCGACATGGCTTAGTGAAGGCGTCTTCTTAGGGGTTCACTTGCCGCATCCCCTTGAAAATAGACTTTGAGGAATAGTGTCTTCGTTTTCACTGTAAGTGTGGTGGGTTTTACTCGTCTAACAACCATATCCTTTGGAATAAATATCTTAAGATACCCGTGCTTGCGAAGCAGGTTCCCCATTTTCTTAAGCTCTGTTATGACCCGCGCCCGGTACTGCTAATAAAGTGGAACGCCGAACCAGAGAATCCATAAGAGTGAGACAGAGAGGAGACCGGTTGGTCAGAGCGAGAGGGAGTTTACCGAGACAAGCACGTTACAGCAATGTAGTATTCCGTACTACTCGTGGCCTTGACGAGTCTGGCGCGTGCTTT